TTATGCTTTGGGGCTGTTTTTCTGCTAAGGGTACAGGATGACTTCACCGCATTGAAGGGCAAATAGACAGGGCCATGTACTGTAAAATCTTGGACAAGAACTTCCTTCCCTCAGCCAGAACACTGAAGATGGGTCATGGATGGGTCTTTCAGCATGACAATGACCCGAAACATACCGCCAAGGCAACAAAGGAATGGCTTAAGAAAAAGCACATTAAGGTCATGAAGTGACCTAGCCAGTCTCCAGACCTCAATCCTATAGAAAATCTGTGGCGGGAGCTGAAACTTCGAGTTGCCAAACAACAGCCAAGAAACCTTAAGAATTTAGAGAGAAGCTGTAAAGAGGAGTGGACCAAGATCCCTCCTGAGATGTGTGCAAACCTGGTGACCAACTACAAAAAAGTCTTACCTCTGTGCTTACCAACAAGGGTTTCTGCACCAAGTGCTAAGTCATGTTTTGCTTGGGGATCAAATACTTATTTCACTCACTGAAATGCAAATAAATTTCTAACCTTTATATAATGTGTTTTTCTGGATTTTTTGGTTGGTATTCTGTCTCTATACATTAAAATAAACCTACCATAAAAATTACAGACCCTTCATTTCTTTGTAAGTGGGCAAACTTACAAAATCAGCAGGGGATCAAATAAATATTTTCTCCACTGTATCAAACACTACCAGAATAGAATGTTCATGTGTTGTTTACACATTTTTAACATTGCAACATGTTTAACATAGGCCTAGCATCCGGAGGAAGACCTTTGAAGACCTTAACTTTAAAGGGGTCAAAAAGAAGAAATGCGCCCATACAAGTGGAGACCAAAAAAAGTATATCGAAGATTCCCTCAGATGGGTAACAACAACATCAAGCCACAGCCCCTTAGTCAGGAAGAGGACTGGGAAAAGGAGTTAGAGGAGATTTCACAACGCATTGAAAAGCAGAAAGAGCCTCCTTATGGTAATTTAATTTCCAAATAAAGTTTTTTAGAATCTCTATTCCATAAAAATAACTTTGTAATCAACAATTGATGTGGCTCGACATTAATAGCTCTATTTTTAACACAGATCCTGGAGATGATTTGAGTACTGGAGTAAGGGAGGGGTTTCACTGTAACGTCCAGAATGGCCCAAGCTCAAGCCAGGAACACTACAGCCCAGCAATTCACCACATTAAACCTGTGAAATGGGTCCGCTTTATTTATGCTGTAGTGGATGACCAGTTTGCTGATGCAGAAGAATAAGGCTGTTGGTTCCTTGTATATGTGCTTCCTTTTAGGAAAAAAAAAATAGTTTATATAAAATTTGTTTATAAGTTACTGAGCCCAGGCTAATGTTTTAAGTACTTTTGTTGTTTTTAGTGGCCTCTCAGTATTTGATGTTAATTTATAGTTATGTTGATCAAATCATTGCTGAGCATTCATATTTGCAAGTTTATTTCATTCATTCATTTTTG